ATGAATGAAGCGAGGTCGCCTGTAGAATTTGCGCCTGCGTTTATGAATGAAATCGTTTTTGTTGTAAAATTTACTACATTTGGACTTCGCCAATTCGGCTGCCAGTTGCTGGTTTTGTAGAACAATGTTTCAATTTTTTTTGGTGACATATTCACATGTGTACACATATGTATGTTTGTATGCTTGTGCATTATTTGTTCGGAAGTGTATACAAATATATGTATGGATATACATATAAGTATATATGAATGTATGAACATGCAGATCAATGCGCGCACATGTAATATATTGATAAGTGATAACATCATTATTTGAATTTCTGAACGCGCACATGCATATACATACATACATACATGCAATCATATGAGCAGATAATAAGATTAATATGATAGACGATGTATTTATATAATGTTGTGATAAATTTAATATCTATTAGTAAGAAACATAATACAACTATATTTATACTAATATTTTACATATTGAGTATATTATGTAAAACTCAAATAAAGTTATTAAAACTGCAAGTCCAAACTGTCTATAAATATTACAATGCATGCATTCATACAAAATTATACTCATATCATAATTATGTTTACATGTSAATATTGAATTGCYGACGGCAAAACGCAAAAGCATACATATTTGCATACATTGCGAAAGCAAAAATTGAAGCAAGGAAATATCACAATGCTGTTGGGAGTATCATAAGGAGCATGCATAAATACATTTATGTCTCTTCATATTCTTAAGTGTGTGAGAGAGCTGTACTTGTACACATTTTTCGCTGTTAAAAGTGGAATATCAAAGAACTTATTTTCCTTCAATATTCCCTATGGCATCATATGCCGTACCTATATTAATTCTCTTCATATTCTCTGTTTGAGTATGTGGAGAACTGTTAAAAATGTTAACATTTCACATCGTGAATTCTGTGGTTGTGAGGTGAATTCCCTATCACAATCTTATAAAATATTCGACATCGAACCTGCACCTTCTCTATGTTTTAAGTTCTCTGCATGATAATACTCCGTTTTGCTTGTTTATATTTTGTTTTACTTTTGAAAACGAAAAATGTGTACAAAACACACCTCTCACACAGAGAATATAAAGACATTTTTTTATGTTCTCTGTCTCRCATAYCCAACAATATGAAAAGATATAAATATATGTACATATATATGCATGCACATGATGATACACCGAAATAGAGAATATTAAAGAAAAATAATTTCTTTGATATTCCATATGAAATGCAAATGTTTCATTTTGTATGGAAATATGTACATATGTATGTAGACCTTTTTTTATTTATATTTAGTTTTTTAATAAATAA